CTGCCTCTCCCCCCCCCCTGCACTACTGCCTCTTTTAAGCTGGCTCCCCCCATACCACTCGGACCCCCCCATGGACAGGGGCTGCTGCCATCCTGCGCTGCTGCAGGGCTGCAGGGGGCTCCTGGGGAGTGGGGCCAGGAGTGCACTGACTGTCAGTCCCATCCCGGGCACTATCGTGTCGTGGTGTAACCGCTAAGGTGTCATGCGGTTACACGACTGTTCCGTTACCCGCTCTCTAATTTCCCCCCCGGGGGTGCGCCGGGGTGGGAGCACCCCTGAGGTTGGCACCTTTGGTCAGAGCAGCAAGAGGGGGCGGGAAGGGATTTGGGGAGGCTCCCGTCTGCTGCAAAAGGAACCTTTCCACAAAAAAATCAAGGTGGCTCTGAAGTGGGCGCCCCATCCTGCCCCCACCCCCGCCATCCTTCAGAGCCGGGCCAGTGGGACTAGTTCACTTTGCTGCCGAGGGAAGACCCATTCTCACGCCTGCTCCACTGACAAAGCCCTGGCCGGGTTGATCTAGTTGGGATTGGTCCTGCCTAGAGCAGGAGACTGGACTTGACGACCTTCTGAGGTCTCTTCCAGCGCTACGGTTCTATGAGAGCCTGGGGGCTGATCTGGGAGCTGGGTTCTGGGTTTCCTGGGGGAGCTGGCGGTGACTAGGTGGGGGAGCAGTTCTTGCTCCAGGCTCAGGTAAATAGGAAGCTCTTACCGAACATGGTTGCAGTGCGAGGGTTCTGATCCGTTGCTTTGGTGGCAGTGTCTCTGAGCAGAGTCGGAAATGCAGTTAGTCCAGTTCAGACCAACCACCCGAATATAGTCCTTGGGGGCTGGTGCCACAGATGTGAGACTCCACCCCTGGCTGCAGAGGCCAGTTTCTTCCTAGCATGCGTGTCATCATTGCTGGCATTGGTACATGCCCCAGTGCCACCGCTAGAACTCCGCCCTTTACCCACATGCAGCCTAAACCAGTGTCCAGGGGTAACCCACACACCCAGCTGCTCTGCAAGACGTCTTGCCCAACCTCCTTGCCCTGGTAACCAACCCCGCTGCTTGGCACTCGGCACCACTGCCCACGTCCAGCACCTCTGATTGCGCGTGGGGGACACAGCCATCCAGCCTCACTCGCTGCTCTTCTCGGCCCTCTGCCAGGGCTGTCCCTACCCCCGCAAGACCTTGAGGCTCACTGGCCCCTGCTAAGGGAGGTGTCCCTTGCTAAACATTTCCCCTGGAGATACTGTTTAGTGGTGCACAAGCGAGAGAGCCTGTTTAAGCCCTGCCCACGCCCACCCTGCAGCACAAGAAAAAGCTGCAAGTGAGAGGTTTTGAAGGGCAGAGCTCTGGAT